CCAGTGAAGAATCGACGTTTAAAATGAACGAAACGAAGCAACAATCAACGAATGCCGTCCGAGTGCAGTACGAATACAGAACATCGACCGCGATATAACTGAATGTTTACGGTTGATTATTAAGATGCGCAAGTTTAATCTAAGAAAATGAATAACGATACTATGTAATAAGAAGCGTGCCAATAGTGCCCGCAGCGTTTCAGCCATTCGCACAACATTTATCGACTACTTACTCATTGCATACCAACCAACAAATTTCAAGCGAACCAACCAACACTCGCTCTCCTCTCTATCACTATAACTCTCCACTGAAGCTTCTCCTCTAAGTTTCGTAAGCTAGTAGTGTTTCACTCATTCTTCTTTATTCTCTCATCAATACCAACATTCATTCATTTCAAGCAGCTGATTGTGTGTGTGTGTGTGTGTGTGGTGTAGGATGTTATGATGGATATGTCGAGATTGATACGCAAACGATGGTGCTGCAGAGCACGAGACGAAAGTAGCAGCAGCAGCATATCTTGCGTAATGCAATGTGTAGTTGTGAATGCTGCAGTTACGGGGTTCTTTCCGTGTTACGGGTTTTTGGAATGNTGCCAAGCAGATTCAGTTGATTCTAAACTGTTTACTGATGGTGTTTATTGATGTGGTGCTGGAAGACGGCTTTCAGAAAAAGGTCTCTGTGCAGTGTTGGCCAGTAGATTTGGAAATGGGTAAACGATGTTGGCACTGCCTCAAAACAAGTGAAAGAAATCTAAAAGATGGTCCTGAAAACGAGCCTTCAACATTTGTGGAAGTCGATGCCCGCAAGTTGAGCATATATTTGGAGACCATGGAGAAGCACTGTCCATTTTGCATAAACTGAATTTCTACGTGAAGACTAGTAAGAGTGTCACCCGTCACATCCATTAGTACCAGCAATTGTGATGACAAAAAGCGGTAATGTAACCAAGAGAAGGTAAACTAGAACAATGCATGCTTGTAGTGTTGCATTTTCTTCTATATTAAATGACAACTAGTTGCATGGACTAGATTCTTATCAACTGAAAAGGTTTTATGTGCAGAAACATCATTAAAACAACTCATAAAGCTCAAAGCACGTAATTATTTGCTTATGACAAGAGTATGTATGTAACATGAATATGTGTATATGGATAGATTAGAGCGTTAAATATCGGAGGAATGGTGGCAGTTTGAAGAAAGGATTAGAGGA